TTTGAAAATTTCCAAAGAATGAACACTATTGGGGCAACTTTTTTGTTTTAAAATTTCACCAATTTTGCTATCCAAAAATCTACTTTTCTTTTTCATAGAGTGGGCTCATTCACCATATATTAGGAGTGATCTGTCTAAATTGATTGAATTGAACTTATTTGTTGTATTTTGAAAGGATGCGTGATGACAAGCAGATGATTATGAATTGATTTTTTTTTTAATTTGCCTAGTTTTGGATGGATGGCAAATTTGAGATCTTTTGCCGCAACTGAACCGTCAAACCGTGAGCACCCTTAGTATTTTGTAAGATTTTGTGTTTTTAATTTGTTTAGATATTCTGTTTGTGTTTTCAATTGAAAAATAATTTATATTCTATTGTGTTTCAATTTGGAAATCTTTTTATCGAATGGCAATAGTTGATATTTGGTATTTTTGTATGAAAAATATAAGGTTTAATTTTGTCATTTAAAAAAAATCAAATTAAATTGTTTTTGAATAAAAAAAATAATGAAATAGTTTTGATAGTGCATAATTTTCTTATATGTATTTATTATTGGTATTTGACAATTTACTTGATAATCTTTTAGTTATGTTGAATTGGATTGTTATTCAAAAGAAAATGTTGACAAATTATTATATTATGTTCAAAATTTTTAAAAGTTTAAACCGCCAAATCGATTCGCATCTATCCGCTAATCTGCTCAATCTGCATCCATCAATTCAGCAGATAGATGTGAATTGATTTTTTTTAACTCACCTATCCGATAAATAGATGATGAATTAAAGATTTCTCAACCGCAACCGAACCCTCAACACCCCTATCATATATCATCACCGCGAACTATCGTCGTGAGTGATTAATACCTCCTCCGATCACTATTTCCAGTAAAAAAACAGTTTACTGTTTCCATTACCACTTTTGACGACAATCACCAACTTTAACCATTACGTCGGGCCATCGTCTACTAATTTTTAAAATGTGAAATGTTTGAGACTTTCTTTAGGGATGATTTTTAGGCGTTGTTTGGGAACCCTCTCTTTTAGTTAAAAAATTTAAAAGTTACTAAATTAGTCAAAAAGCCAACAACCCATACCAAAAAGTCAAAGATTATCTTTTTCTCTCTATTTTTTGCACATCTTTTCGTAAAAATTCAAAAAGTCATCCCAAACATATTAGTTTTTTTTAACTCATATTTTAGCCAATCCAAAAAGTTACTAAATTAACTTGTTCCCAAACGAGGCCTTACACTTCTACAATGATCTTGGTCCTCTATATACGTGAGAAGTTCACTCGTGTATATGTGATGTCTATATTATAAGTTGTACAGATTTGTGAGGTTCTTGTGGGAGTGAAAGTCTCAATCATTGCTCTTTTATCTCTCTATTTTTTGCACATCTTTTCGTAAAAATTTAAAAAGTCATCCCAAACATACTAGTTTTTTTTACCTCATATTTTAGCCAATCCAAAAAGTTACTAAATTAGCTTGTTCCCAAACGAGGCCCTTACACTTCTACAATGATCTTGGTCCTCTATATATGTGAGAAGTTCACTCGTGTATATGTGATGTCTATATTATAAGTTGTACAAATTTGTGAGGGTCTTGTGGGAGTGAAAGTCTGAATCATTGCTCTTTTAAAAATAAAATTTTAAAATATACATATCTGTCAAACATATTTTTTTATTTTATTTTACTCAAAATAAAAAATATATATATTTAATTTAATTTTTGTTATAAATAAAAAAATTGTCTAATATCTTAGAAACAAAGAAAAATATATTATTATCAGAAAAATTTTTATTCGCTCATTATTAGAAATCTCAGTACATATCATTTATGTCATTCATATATAATAAAAATCAAATATTTAGACATAAATTTATGAACAAAAATGAATTGTTTATATATCTCATTCAATTGTTTATATTCGAATAATTATTTTTAGCCACAAAAAAATCACAAAAAGCTAGCTTCTAGCTAAAAAAGTCACAAAAAGCTAAAAAAATCAAAAACTCAGCTTTTAATCAACTTCTTAAAACGAAAAGATATGCAGAAAGTAGAAAGGTGATATAATAGAAAAAAGATAAAAAGATGAATTATATTGGAGTTGCCAAACTTGACCTAAGATTTCCAGTGATGTGTAAATAAAATTATGTTTATTTTAATCTATGTTTCTTTATTACCTGGAAATAAAATAGAAAAAATTCTGGAGGAAAAAAAACCAAGGTTTTTTGTTAGGTAACAAAACAAATTATGAATTTTTTAATTTTATTAATGTAAATTGATCTTTTAATTTATTTTTAATCTTAACTATTTAATTTTTTTGTTAAGTAAAATCAATAGAAAAATAGTATTGTAGTTATTAAATTCGATATAAGTATACATAAAATGTCTAAAATATCATTTTTATTTAATTTAATGAATAAAATACTTATTTTTTTATCAATTTTACTAGAAAAAATTCTGGAGGAAAAAAAACCAAGGTTTTTTGTTATGTAACAAAACAAATTATGAATTTTTTAATTTTATTAATGTAAATTGATCTTTTAATTTATTTTTAATCTTAACTATTTAATTTTTTTGTTAAGTAAAATCAATAGAAAAATAGTATTGTAATTAAATTCGATATAAGTATACATAAAATGTCTAAAATATCATTTTTATTTAATTTAATGAATAAAATACTTATTTTTTTTATCAATTTTACTTAACGAAAATAGATAAATGATTTAAATTAAAAAAATTAAAAAATTAAGATTTAAATTGATAAAATTAAAAATTTATTTTATTATAGAACTCAAATTTTGAGATTTTTTTGTAATCTTCCTAATAAAACGAAAACATAATGAATTTTTATGAACGCACGCGCCTATTGAACGCGTGGAAGGTGGAAAGTGTCACGTGACAAGTGGGGAGTTTTGAGGTGACTTCACTGAAAGAGAACGGGTTTGGCCCCTCTACCCGGATAGGATAACATTTGGCCCACAACAACACTCTGTTTGTGATTCTCTGTTTGGAAGCTCAGAAAATATTTTTTTATATATATCTGCAATAGAACTCTAGTAGTAGTAGAGCATTATCCTATGAAAAATGTTTGGAAGCTCTAATTTAGAGGTTTCACTAGTAATGTGCCACTGTCAGTCATGTATTTTGATTTTTTTTTTCTTTTTCTTTTTTCATTTCATTAGAGATGTGTTTAGAAGTGTGTTTTTAGAAGTCTCTAACATTGTTGTTATCCTAAAAAAAAAGAAAAAGAAAAAAAAAAAAGTAAGATAGTTGACGCCACTGGTTATATTAGTGGACAACATGAGTACTTTCGTGTCACTTCTTTCAATATTTTTTTTCTTTTTTTAAAAAGAGTTAGAGATCTTTCTAGTTTGAGTAGGGTGATTAGAATTTCAATTGAGATCTCGTTTCACAAGTTAATGTTTTAGTTAAAAAATTAAAAAAATTAAAAGGTTGATAATTTATATTAAAAAATAAAAAATTTCATTTTTTTTAATTTTTTATATATCTTTTCATAAAAAATCAAAAAATAATCTCAAATATATTAATTTTTTTACCTTATATTTTAATTAAAAAACTAAAATATTACTCAAATAGTCTGTTAAGATTGCCTGATATTACAATTATAAATTTAGGTCAAGTTTGGTATGATTGAAAAAAGACAAAAAGTCAAAAAGTCACTATCCTATTTAAGTCACATCATCTTATTTAAGTCACATCACTTTTCTAACACATCACTTCAAACTCAACCCAAACCCAATCTATATTTCATAAAAAGTCAAAAAGTATACTTATTTAGCCTTCCAAAACTAAGCCTTAAAGTAGGGCTCCTCTTCAATGATTTCTCAATTGGAGGTGGTGTTGGTTTTCACGAGCCCATCGCAAAATTTATATCAGTAATTCAAATTATTTATTATGTAAGGTAAATTACATTTAATTCTCTTGAGATTTCTGACAAATATAAGGACCTCCTTTGTAATTTGAATAATTACAGTAATCTTCCTTATTTTACCTGACAATTTCAAGATTCTCTCAAAATTTGACTGTCGTCTATACACCTAACCGACCCTGCTGATGTCATCAAATGTTAGTACTAAAATGCCTATAATGCCCACAAGTGCCCAATTCAAGAACTGAAAATGTTTTTAAAAAAATTTATTTTTTATTTCAAATATATAATTTTTATTTAAATATTTTATTTTATTTTGTAAATATTTTAAATTTTAAATTTTAAATTTTAATATTTTAAACTCAAAACATAATTTCACACTCAAATTGTAACCAAACACATAACTTAAAACTCAATTCAAAATCTATTTTTAAAACTCATAATCAAACACATAACTCGAAACTTCACACTATTTTCAAAATTTCACAATCAAGTTCCAATTGTACGGGAAAGAAATAAACCTTCTCGTATAATCCTGTTGATCAAGTCTGCGCTCCTCCGTACGAACACGCCCCCCGTGCGTGCACACAAAAAAAAAAAAAAAAAAAGATTTAAATTGATTTGTGTGATCATGCAGTATACCAGAAAACAAAAAACTAAAACTTGTTAAAAACAACATAAAAAAAGCAACGCCCAATTAGTACACATTAATGTGTGTTTGGGAGGGGAAAGATTGAGTACACACCTAACCTTTAGCATAATGTACAAAGTGGTGGCCCCAAGACTTGAAACCATAACCTTAAGGTTAAAAACAACATCAAGAAAGTTAATACCAGACCCTGCCGTCCTGATCACAAAGCCAATCATATAGAAGCCAAAGCATGTATGTCGAACAAGAATCATTACAAAAGAGAATAACTTCACAGCCGACGTAGAAACTTAAGTTCGAAACTAGGAAAAAACAAAAGAATCTTAATATCGGCATGTTTTTATTCATAACTTCTGTACAATTTACACTTGGCAGAGATCAAAAGCATCCCGAAAATTTGTGAAGTGTATAAAAGACCTCAGCTATCAGTATTTTGCCTGTCAAAAGAAACGAAAAAATGGCAGAAGTCGAGCTTTTCAGGACGTGGTCAAGTCCATTTGCTCTGAGAATCGTTTGGGCATTGAAACTTAAGGGCATAGAATATGAAACCATATTTGAGGATCTTTCCCACAAAAGCTCTCTACTTCTGGAGTATAATCCAGTCTACAAAAAAGTTCCAGTCCTCGTGCACAATGGAAAACCAATCTCGGAATCTCTTGTAATTCTTGAATACATCGAGGATACATGGAAGCAGACTGCTTTATTACCTGAAGATCCTTATGAAAGAGCCACAGCTCGTTTTTGGGCAAAATTCAGTGACAGTCGTATTTTGAGTTATGAGTTTTGAAAAGAGAAAATTTGTTTGGTTATAAATTTTGAAATTTTTCTAATTTATTTTTTTAGGGTAAATATTTTATATTTATTTTAATGTGCATTATATTTCATGCATTTATGTGTTGTATTTTTTAATATTTTAAATTTAAAAAAAAAAATATTTTTTTTTTTAAATGTATAATTTTTATTATAAATATTTTTAAATTATTTTATTTTATGATTGTGTTGGTAAATCATGGGCAGTGGCAGTGAACAAAGGGTTTTATGGTTATGGTTGAACAAAGGGTTTTTTGTCTTTTTGCAGGCAAAAGCAAGGGTAATGTGGTAATTTTCTATATGATACTAATGTCGTTTGTGCAAAATAGACAGAATGGGAGAATCTTGACATTATCAGGTAAAATAGGGGAGGTTACTGTAATTATTCAAATCACAGGGGAGGTCCCTGTATTTGTCAGGAACCTCAGGAGAGGTAAATATAATTTACCCTAATATGTAAGATTCGTCGAGTAATTTATTCGTATAAAAATTATGTTGATTAGATATCAATGATCACTTAATTAAATTATATTTGTGTCAACATATTATTTTCGAAACTATACTTATCATTGAAAAAATTTAAATTAATCAAGTGGTTATTGATATTCGATCAACGTAATTTTTAGCAAAAATAAAATGTTCGACAAGTTCTACACGTTAAACGATTCGAATCATCGATATGAGCTCCATGATGGGCCAGCAAAAGCCTAAAAATACGCTCAAGTCTAATTTTGAATTAGAGAGAATACTCTACCAATAAAGTAAATACCATTATAGTAATAAAATCATATAGAATCGCATTTTACAAAGATCCCGAACTTACCAAACTCTTTTTTTTAACTCCTTTCCTAATTATGTTAACATAGAAAATTCATTATAATGATTTTTTTAAATAATTTTAAAAGAGAATCGCTATTCCTACTCCACTCTATTCTAAATATACTATTCTATTTTTATTTTTTATTTTTGTTATACATAGTTACTATTGTCATTTTGCTCTAAATATACTTCTTTGTATAATAATGACAAATAATAGAGTGTATTTAGAATAAAGTGAAATGAGAATAGCGATTCTCTTTTAAAATTATATAATACATTATTATTAGAGTAAGGCTCCGTTTGGGAAGATAGGTTGTGGGTTTTTTTGGCTATTTTAGCCATAAAAGATAAAATAGGCTATTTTAGTCACAACAAACAAAATATCATATCCAACCCATAATCATTGCACTCTCCTCTCACAAAAAAGTCAAAAAAGTCAAAAAGTCAAAAAATCATTCTCAAACCAAGCTTTTTAGCCCAGGCTAAAATAGTCAAAAAAATCGAAAAACCAAAAAGTCAACTCACTTTCCAAACCAACCCTAAATTAAAATTTTACAATTTTTAATTTAATTCTACGACGGATCTACTAGTCTCTCCGAGGCATCCCATCTAAAATTTCAATTCTACAACCTTGGATAGGAGAAATTAGTTTGAACTCTTAAATTGTGTCATCTAGGTATATTTTGTAAATTAAATATTTAAATTTTATTCACTTATTCACACCTAAACCCAATATTAGAATTGAATATCAAATTTCACCCAATAACAAATGGGTCAATGGATAAACAAAATCTGAACATCTATTTATAAAAATGGTTAAGCTTGTCTTCAGTTAGAGATCAAGATTGAATTATTCAATCTAATTTGTGAGTTCATTTTTAGGCATCGTTTCGATAATCTAAATCGTGCAATGTGTAGAATTCGTCTAATACTATATCCCTGTAAAAAATCACATTGATCGGATATCGATAGCTATTTGATCAGATCAGTTTTGTATAAAAGAAATGAACGATAAAAAAATAAATGATTGACAGAAATCTAATCCGATCAAATAGCTATCGATATCCAATTAACGTGATTTTTAATAAGAATATAGTACTCAACGAGTTCTATACATTGAATTTTTCAAATTATCAAAAAAAAATCCAAAAATAGGTTCACGGACTGAACTAGACGGTCCAGCCTTAATCTCTAATTGGAGACAAATTGGACCCTTACAAAAAGTACTGAAATAACAACGCAATCTTGGAAATTGAAAGAGAAGTCATTTTATTTTTTTGGGATGTAATAATTTATTCTAACAACATCTACTTATATAGAGAATGTAAAACACAAATAGAAATAAATATAGTGATTTTTCAAAATTAAATATTTTTTTATTTGAACAAAAATATCCTCACTCTTGGAATATTGAAATTGACTTATTTATAAAAATAAAACAAACTAAAATGATAGTACCCTCTTGAATAAAAAACAAAAAACATTAATATTTCGTTATAAATAAAAATAAATTTATAAATCACATAAAATAATAGTACTTTGTTTATTTGAAAGCCCATTTAAGTTGAAACAATTCCATGAAATGGATTGATGAATTTCACTTACAATTTACTTTTTATCCATTAATCCTATAATATTGAAACCCCCCCCCCAAAAAAAATAAAAATAAAATCATTCACTCTGTATAGTTATGATTTTCAGGATTTGCTTTTTAGAAAATTAATTTTTTTTCATTTTATGTATTTTTTTATTGAATTTTTTTAATATTTTAAGCAATATTTTTTTTAAAAAAATTAGATACACCTAATGTAAATATACACTTAAAAAGTATAATATTTGTGAAAAAAATCTTTAAAAATTCACTAAATATAAAAAATATAAGAAAAAAATACAACAATTCAGTATATTTTTCATATTCATTGTGTATTTATTAAAATTTTAAAATATTTTTTTATAAATATTTTATTTTTTAGATATATCTAAGGTGCATCTAAAAATGGAAAAATTGGTCAAACATCCCTCTCTAACTTTTAGTAATGGAAGAGGTCCACAATATTTTTTCTGTAACCTAAGGTCCCTCACCCACACCCATATACCACACCATCTCTCTCTCTTTCTCTCTCTCTCTCTTTCTCTCTGTATATATATATATATATATATCTTTGAATTAGACTATGAAATAATTGAACACCAACCGGCCTCTTTCTCTATCTCTCTCTCTCTCTCTCTCTCTCTCTCTCTATATATATATATATATATATAAGAAGGATTGATGTTTGTGGTAGTGTTTTGGGAAGAATCGGCTAACAAATTAGTCCAACACACAGTTTATGCTTGGAAACGTAAGAAACTAAGTATAGTAGTGGATGATATCTCTGCTATCTGCCTCTTCTTCTACAATTCAACATCATCAAACTTCTATAGCTATTTGTGTGTATATTCTTTCTTGACTCTAGTGTACTTAAAAATGAATATAGAGTTGAATGACAAATATATTGGTGACCATGTCTCTATTTTCTGAACAAACGATATATATATTTGTAAGACACATATTTGCATCACTTGTTGAATTACTTCCCTTATAGAAGGGAAGAATTAAAGGATTGACAAGAAACTATTCCATTTTTTTTCTTCTCTCTCTTCTCTATATAATACGTAGAGAAAATTCTTCAAACCAGAGAAATTTCCAAAACACAGAGAAAATTAAAGAAATTTCTTTGAGTTAGGCGAAATTTCTTTAAATTTCTCTGAGTTAGGCTAAAATTTCTTTTAGCTGGGCAAAATTTCTCCAAGTTAGGTCGAAATTTTTTTGAGTTTTGGCCAAAATTTTGATTGATTTTCTTTGACATCTGAATTTTCCCTGACCTGTCAAATTATGTTGCTTGTTTGATTTTCATTGGTTAGTTGTGTCATTGTGTGTAATTTTCCTCTTGAGATGAATTTTCTCTAGCATTACAATTTTCTTTAAACACGTTGGATTCACTTTACTCTATGCGCCTTGCTTGATTTTCTATGGCTAGTTGTCTCTTTGATTTTCTCTCCAATTTTCTCTGGCATTTTAATTTTCTTTGACCACATTAAACTCTCATTAATTTGTGTTGTTTGTTTGATTTTCATTGGTTAGTTGTTCCTTGAGCTGAATTTTCTCTGGCATTTGAATTTTTCCTGAAAACATTAAACTCTTACTAATTTAGGTTACTTGTTTGATTTCACTGATTAGTTGTCTCTTTGGCCCTATTTGTTTCACTAGATATAAAATGGAGGATATAATATGGTATGTGATTTAGTCAAGATATATAATGAATAGAATATATGTATTGGATAATATATCTCTCAATTCATGTTTGTTGACTTGATATATAACACTGGATATATCTTATCCATGTTTGCTTTACAAAATATATTGTGGGATATAAACAAATAATTTCCAATATTACCCTCATAATATATTTTAGTACCCATATTGCCCTTATGCCCATCAAAAGAGACACCATTCAATTTAGGAAAAAAACAACACCCCCGGTAAAACCAATGCAAATGAACAAATTAAAAATTCATATTAAATCCAATAATTTTCCCAAACAAAAAAAAAATTATATTATATTAATGTCAACCTGATAATGATAAAATAAATAAATAAATAAATACCACCAAATCATTTTAAACAAGTATTTTGATTTTAAAAATAACTATCAGTTATTTATCACCCCATATCCATCATTCTTACAAAAAACCCAAGCAAAAAAATTATTTGAAAAAAAAAAATTAATATTCATTCTAAAAGATTCTGTCTTATGAAAATAATCATATTATTGAATGAAAAAAATAACATCTTCATTCATTCATTCGTCGCACATCATCATTCTTACAAAATAACCCAACCCATTATAATTAAAAATAACCATCATTCATTCTAAGCAAATTATAACTTTTTTTACAATAGACAAGTTAATATATTAAGCATCATGATTGTCACCATACATCATATTTTATATATGTATGTCCACAAGCATACTTACAACCCCAACAATTGCAACAAAATTAGGCACAAAAGCCATTTGTGGAGGATTTTCACCAATTAGTTTGTCAAAATATGTCTAAACCTCCTAAATACTATGCAAAATAGGCACTACACATGTGCCTCAAGAGGAATAGCTAAACTAAATATTATAATATATAGATAGATATCTTTCACTAACCAACAACAAACACCCTCGTAAACATACCCAGCCAACAACAAACATACCCATTCCATTTTGTCTTCTTCAGGCAAGCTAAAGAACAAATCAACTCTTTTAGCACCCTTCACGATAAGGGTAGCTACTCTCAACCTGTCATTGGTGTTCAGTGGCAACTTCACTAGTTCCCCATTAACTAGCTTCCTAGCTTGAGACAAGTCATGGGCATAACCAATCCTATGAGCTATTTCTTCAATGGTAGCGTTGGTTTTCTCAAAGAAGGAACCAAGCTCAATAACCATATCAGCAAGACCCTTTACAATACCTTCAGCTTTTTTAGCTCTTTTCTTAGAAGATATGCTTGA